TTTATGTCCTAATCAGTCCTGTTATGTCCTCACTAGTCTTTTTATGTCCTTACTTGTCCTTTATGTCCTTACTTATCTTTTAATGTCATTAGTCCTTTAGTATCCTTATTAGTCCTTTTCCGTCCATACTAATCCTTTTCTGTCCTTACCAGTCCTGTAGGACAGAAAAGGACAGAAAAGGACTCAAGGACTTGTAAAGACAGAAAAGGACATGTAAGGACGAGAAAGGACTAGTAAGGACGTAAAAGGACTAGTAAGGACAGAAAAGGACTAAGAAGGACAGGAAAGGACTAATAAGGACAGAAATGGACCAATGAGGACATAAAAAGACGGAAAAGGACTAGTAAGGACGGGAAAGGACTAATAAGGACAGAAAAAGACTAGTAAGGACGGGAAAGGACTAATAAGGACATAAAAGGAAGGAAAAGGACTAGTAAGGACAGAAAAGGATTAGTAAGGACGGGAAAGGACTAGTAGGGATACTAAGGGACTAGTAAGGACACAAAAGGATTAGTAAGGACAGAAAACGACTAATAAAAACAAAAAAGGACGGAAAAGGACTAGTAAGGACAGAAAAGGATTAGTAAGGACGGGAAAGGACTAGTAAGGATACTAAGGGACTAGTAAGGACACAAAAGGATTAGTAAGGACACAAAAGGACTAATAAGGACATAAAAGGACGGAAAAGGACTAGTAAGGACAGAAAAGGACTACTAAGGACGGGAAATGACTAGTAGGGATACTCAAGAACTAGTAAGGACACAAAAGGATTAGTAAGGACAGAAAATGACTAATAAGGAAAGAAAAGAACGGAAAAGGGCACAAAAGGACTAGTAAGGACAGAAAAGGACAAATAAGGACAGAAATAGACTATTAAGGACATCAAAGGACGGAAAAGGACTAGTAGGGATACTAAAGGACTGGTAAGGACACAAAAGGATTAGTAAGGACACAAAAGGACTAATAAGGACATAAAAGGACTAGTAAGGAAGGGAAAGGACTAGTAAGGACACGAAAGGAATAGAAAGGACAGAAAAGGATTATTAAGGACATAAAAGGACGGAAAAGGATTAGTAAGGACACAAAAGGACTAAGAAGGACATAAAAGGACTAGTAAAGACACGAAAGGACTAGTAAGGACTGGAAAGGACCAGTAGGGATACTCAACGACTAGTAAGGACACAAAAGGATTAATAAGGACAGAAAAGGACTAATAAGGACATAAAAGGACGGAAAAGGATTAGTAAGGACAGAAAAGGATGGAAAAGGACACAAAAGGACTAAGGTCAGAAAAGGACAGATAAGGAAAAAGGATTAGGGTAAAGGACAGAAAAGGATGGACAAAAGGACTAATATGGACCAAAAGGACTAGTAAGGACACAAAAGGACCAGTAAGGACACAAAAGCCCAATAAGGACAAAAATGGACTAATGAGGACATAAAAGGACGGAAAAGGACTAGTAGGGATACTAAAAAACTGGTAAGGACAGGAAAGGACTAATATGGACCTAAGAGGACTAGTAAGGACGGGAAAGGACTAGTAAAGACACAAAAGGACTAACATGGACATAAAAGGAATAGTAAGGACGGGAAAGGACTAGTAAGGACACAAAAGAAATAGAAAGGACAGAAAAGGATTATTAAGGACATAAAAGGACGGAAAAGGATTAGTAAGGACACAAAAGGACTAAGAAGGACATAAAAGGACTAGTAAAGACAGGAAAGGACTAGTAAGGACAAAAAAGGACCAGTAGGAATACTCAACGACTAGTAAGGACACAAAAGGATTAATAAGGACAGAAAAGGACTAATAAGGACATAAAAGGACGGAAAAGGATTAGTAAGGACAGAAAAGGATGGAAAAGGACACAAAAGGACTAGTAAGGTCAGAAAAGGACAGATAAGGACGGAAACGGACTAGTAGGGATACTAAAGGACTAGTAAGGACCAGGGGGCCCCCTGGTAAGGGCACAAAAGGACTAATATGGACCTAAAAGGATTAGTAAGGACAGAAAAGGACTAGTAAGGACACAAAAGGACTAGTAAGGACACAAAAGGACCAGAGTAGTAAAGGGGGTTGATATGGCAAGTACCCAATCACAGAGCAGTATTCTTTTGTTTAAGATTTAGAGAACAATTGGAACAATGGAGCTCATTCGTATTCAGTACTTTGAACCAATCGCAGAGCAGCATTAGAAATGCCCCCTTCATGTAATAGTCAGCAAAAGCACATGTTATAATTTTCGCGCCATATTCAACTTCGCGCTAAAAGATCAGGGGCACCCAACGACAATTTTCGGAAAATATGTGTTCGGAAGACGATTTGCGATCTAGAATTTTCGGAACATTTGTTGTAAAATTTCTTGCTTGCCTGCCTCTCCTAGGATTTTCGAACATCTAAAAAATGGTATAATTGCCCATTTCTAACGGATTTTTACTCTTAAAAGGTCACCTAGAATTTTCGTGAACCTTTTTTGTGGCTGAAATTTTCGAAAAGGTAAGTTTTGATCCCTATAATTTTCGGATCACTAGACTTTCAGCTAGGAAATCCGAACAGATGAAAAATTTCTAGGGGATAAAAATATGCCTGTATCTACCGTTTAAATACTAAAATACGTTTAACAATGCTATGTTTAAGTGGTTTTGAACTATGTTCTCGTTGGGTGCCCCTGAAAGATGTTTTAGTATGAAAGAAAATGGCTCCCTTTGCCATGAACGCATCAAATATTGAACGATTTGCTGCCTTAACAAGACAAAGGCAGAAAGACCTCTTTGAAGTAAACAAGAACTTAACCGAACAATGGTTTTGGCATTTACGGCGATTGGAAAAAAAGCAAGATTAACGAGTGTTGTCTGCACGCGATGGCATGCTGTACAAAGAATTTTACAAGGTCCAGAAACGGACCCGATTTTGCAGGGGCAAAGAAATTTACACAACACAGTATTTCATCGCAATCATTTTATTCACCTCAAAGAGTATATCATTTTACACTAGAAATAATAATAATGACTAAAGAAATGGCTAATGGTTACATCATCACTTAATGTGTAGTCTACCAAATTGTCTCTGTAAGTTAGGTCTTGTTCGTAGGTAGGTCCTTTTTCAGATGATACAAATAACACATTTTGTTGTAATCTTCGCTTGAACAAATCGTTCATTTCCAATAAAGCATCAGGATAATCGTAGATATTGCGTACACCAATAATGACAGTTCTGCTGATCAACGTGGGGTTCATAATCTGTTCCTCCCTCATTTCCTCACACCATACTTTTTGAAATGCAATCCGCTGTAGCTGTCGTTTGTTGGAAAACTGACCTCCATAAGAGAATTTCTCAGCCATAGTTATCTTTGGACAAACACGCCGCGGGTTGATGATGCAAAAATGTTCAACTTAAGACCAGGTATTGTGTAAAAAAACAAAATGCAATTAAGAGTTAGCCGTTTAGCTTTTGTCTCTTTTAATAAATGACCCGGATTAAGACATTGAGTTCCCAATTCGAAGTCAAGGAATGTTGTTTCTCAGTCATCCAGAACATGTTGTATCTCTTGGCGAAATTGTAATTCTCTGTCTATCGACAAACCTATGAATTACTTGTCGCAAAAACTACAAGACGATTCAGAAAATGAGGGCTCTTTTAACCCTGATCGGATAGTGAACAATCTATTATGTGTTCAACATACAAACGCGCTCTCCGTTCAATATTTTATTCTTAACAGTTCAGTTTGCTCGGAGAAAAGTCTTAACTCTCACCAATATTCTTTGAAACATTGCTCTAAACATGCAAGTCGAATGGAGCGCTTGACCTCTGCTGACGATTGACGAAGTGGAAAAAGTCCAGCGTCAAAGGATATCCAGTTTTATTGGACATGTATTCCAACTGACTTATGTGGCTTTGGTTGACAAACTCATCCAACAAGAAAAGCTGAATCACTGCGACGGTTGTGCTATTCAACACCCAAGTCAAAAGCAACATTCTTGCCTCATGATGGATAATGATAACGCATGGAAGTATTACCACGATGAAGTGGTGGAACAAATTGACCTGAATTCTATGTTGAACGCTACCGAAAGTTATGCAGTGCTCTCGGCTTCAAACTAGATAAATCATGGGAAGCGTACTGCCAAATATTGTCGTGGACCAGTATTTACCTCGCTTCTCTGGAACTTGATGTTATCCAGCAGGGTGATGATCTTCAAAGCCGTATTTTATACGCTCTATACTGCCGACCAAATGGGCTCAAATGGAAGGATTTCAGTGATCAACAAGAAACAATAGAATGTCCTGATAGAGTCGTGAGAAAAGAAGAACACCAATGGACCTTGACATGATAATGACATTCAAAAGAAGATTTGTTTCTAAAAGTAATAAAATTTCTTCATGATGACTAAAATTTTGAGTCGGTGTGTGTTTGTCTCTGTCTTTGTCAAGATGGGGCTTTCTCTGTCTTTGCTTCGGGTCGACTTTTCTCTGTATCGCATTGTATATAAAGAGTTTTCCTTTATGTGTAAAAAAATGTCATTTGTTCATAGTTTGTAAATAAATATGGTTTAATATACTAAACACGATTTGTTGTCTGTCTAGCCGCGCGCGCGTGTGTGCGCCACGCACGAATCAATCATCCGCGTAAAGGAAAAAACACAGTGATATACAAGGCCCTTGTGGCCCCTGTAGCCCCTGTGGCCCGTTCTCCATAGTCATAAACTTCGTGTCATTAGCGGTTTTTTTCAGTTGATATCGAACCTTCGTACCGTGAACATCATGGGTAAGCGTGTATGTCGTCATTGCCCGATACCGGGATGTCACTCTAAATTTTTAGTTGGGTTAGCAAACCATTTGGCTCAGGTACACGAGCTGTCTGACTTAGAGAGAAAATATTGGCTCCAGTTTGCTAAATTACAAAATACCAACATGGTTCGAGTTCATGATAAAGACACTCCGCCAAAGACCATTTCGCTATAAATAAGAGCAAACGCAGTTGAACCAGTCAGTTGTCAACATGGACCCAAGGTGGAAACACCCCTTTCCTGCTATTGTAGCTGGCCCCACTTGTTGTGGGAAAAGTCATTTTGTCAAACACCTGTTGGAATCTGGAGAAGAATTAATAGACGGAACTCCTGAAAATATCATTTGGTGTTATGGAATATACCAACCGGCTTACGATGAAATGCTAAGGACTATTCCCAACATCACGTTCGTCGAAGGAGTTCCTGATGATTTAGAGTCTATGATAAACCCAACCATTCGGAGTTTAGTGGTCATTGACGATTTAATGCAGGGGCTTAGCAATGATCAGAGAATTACAAATTTGTTCATCAAAGGCTGTCATCACCGAAGTTTGGGCTTTATTTTTATTCTTCAAAACATTTTTCACCGGGGAAAAGAACTGAGAGACATGAGTTTGAATTGCCATTATTTGGTGATGTTCAAGTCTCCGCGAGATAGCAGTCAAGTCAGTCACTTGGCGAAACAGATGTTTCCCGGTCATGTCAAATACATGCAAGAAGCGTTTCAGGATGCGACAAAACGCCCTTATGGCTACCTGTTATGTGACCTCAAACCAGAAACACCTACCGACTTCAGGTTGCACACAAACATTTTCCCTGGGGAGACTCAGTTCGCCTATGTCAGAAAGGTATAAAAAAGCTCCGTCGTAGCGATTGAAATCAGTTGAGTATGGCCCAGCGACTAAGAAAGAACCACGATTTTCTTAAGCTCTCGTCAAGTGTACCCCAGCTCAACGTAAAGCAATTTTGAAAGCAGCCGACGACGCTTTAGTAAAAACCATTTGTGAGTGTGTATTCAACGTACTTAAAGAAACAGTCCCTGTCAGTAAACCGGCAAAGAGAAAACTTCTTAAGCACAAGAAAGCTTTGACTGCTCTAGCTGAAAAGAGTGCCTCGCTAAACACGAAAAAGCAAATCTTGATACAACACGGAGGAAACTTTTTAAGTGTTTTGCTACCTCCCGTTCTTCGAGTGTTGAGCTCGCTTCTTAGTTAAGATGAATCATACAAGACGCATGGTTCTCGTTCCTGAAAACACTCTGGAACGATTGCAGCAACGCCAGCAGATATTAACACCACCTGTAACACAAACTCTGAAAAATCTGGATAGCCAAATTGGGGGATATTTTAGAAAGTAAACAACTTGGTGATGAGGAAAAGGCGAAGCTTTACAATCAGGTGTTGCAACGGTACTTGACTTATTACGATCAGCGGAAAGGCCAGCCTCTCCATGTGAAGTTAACGACCCCTAAAACAACAGAAACCCCCAAGCCAGCTGAGAACGCAGAATCTACAGAGGAAGCTTCCCCAGATAATTCTCTTCCAACAGCAGTAGAGGAAGAGGTCATGAAAAGTGTACCCAAAATTTACAAAGCTGGGGCTAGACAGTTGTTGGATAAAATTAAAAAACACCAGGATGTGTTGCACTGGAATGATAAAGGAGAGCTGTTGTATGAAAACAAACCAATCCCAGGTTCTCATGTGGTCGACCTAGTCAACGACACATTGCGTCACCGAAAAGGATTTGAACCAGTGGGATGGTCCGTGTTTGCGAGGGGCCTGGCGCGAATGAATGTCCCCGAAAACTTGGTTCGTAATCCCCAACGTCAGAGTGCCATAAGAGAGTTTAAAGCAAGAGTGAGAGAGGAGACCCCAGAAAGTCTATCGCGTTGGCTACCCACCCCACCTGTGACGTTATCTTCTGTCAAAAAGCAGAGGCACAGAGTCGAGAGTCCTCGCCCTCAGGCTGTTCGATGGTTACGATTATAAATCATGACAAGAGACTTTTTTTATTGTGAAACACAAAACTTTATTTTGTAATTCAACAAAATGTGTTGAAAAGAAATTATATGGTGTCTGTTTACTGAACTTAGTGTTGTGCTTTTGCTCTTTGCTTGTTTACATCAGTACGATATTTCGGAAAACCTATAGGAAAATGTTTTTCAATAAATCGTTTTACGAGACTATCATTTTTACTTGTGTTTTTAGAAAAACGATGGACAATAGCACTCATACTTATATGCCGACTACGATATAAAGCAAAATACAAACAGTAATGTCCGCAGACTTTTGAATAGATGCTTTGTAATGTCACAGTATTAAAAGTCCACTGGTTAGAATTGTTGTTTAAAAAGGCAGTAAACGTTCCTGAATATTTGCTGGGTGGTGATCCGTAAGAATCGAAAAATTCTCCCTCTTGCTCCTTGGTGAAATAAAACGCCACCCAATGCGAACCTGGCTTGTCACTCGTATCCACATTGGCGATAAACAGGGCTGGGTAATGTGAAACACTTGCAGGCAGCTGGTCTGAGGGATACACGCCTTGAAACAAACCTCGTGTAAATTTATCCTTTCTCAAAATAAGGGTCAGTTGAATAGTGTCCATTTTTAGTTTGTGTAGTCGAACAACACGTTGCGGTTCCCGTCAATTTCAATCACGTTTTGGAATTCAGCGTACACGATAAGGTTAACCGTATTGGCCAGTGGTTCCTTGAAATGAAGCTCAGCGCGCAGGTTACCTGCTTTATTAGCTCAAAATGGTCACCTGAGCAGTGGTCTGGGGACAAGTCAAAGCAGAATGCTGTGTAACCAGAGCCATAATCGCTTCTACTGATTTGATTACCCGCATCTTGGGATAGCTTTCCAGTGCCTGAGAACAGGCTTTGATAGCCCGCTATTACATTTTGACCTCTAGCTTCGTCAAAATTCAAGAACAGGGGTTTCCGAGGAATTTGCTCTCCGTCCACATAGACACCCACTTGAGTTAGATTGTGGTGTTTGAAGTTGAACGGGTTGGTACTGTAAGTTCCATTATATGCCTGAGTATCCACTAAGACCAGCACGATTCGTTTAGGAATGTGACCCAAAGAGATGTTGTCGGGGTTAAAACTGCTAAATCCTCTTGGAATAGACAGCACTTTACAATCGATTCGGCGAACCGGGTACTTGGCGCTGGAGTGTTTTAGTGCAGCCGCATGGCCAAGTATAATAGAGGAGGCCAATTTCACCCGGCGAACGAACAAGATGGCTTCTGTGATTACCACCTTGAAAGTTGGAGCGGCTGCTGATGACATTAGACAAAACGAGTTCTTGGCTCGGTTCAGTTTGATTCTTAAATTCACTCCATTTAGCATCAACCGGTCTTGAAAGAAAATGTCGCTATGAATGGGCCCCATCATATCCACAATATGACTTTCTTTAGTGAAATCATAGCGAACCTTTAACCCCTTGTTTGCAGCATCGTCTGCAGCCACAGGGTTGGCAACATCCATTTTTCCAGGGGTATCTTTGTAAAACATGGCCATAGAAAGTTGACTTGTTTTTGCTTCTTCTCCGTAGTTTAGCAAGGTTTCGATCATGGCGCGATAAGGGTAGGTATTGGTGGATGGAGAGATCAATCGCTCGTTCAAGGAAACGTCCACTTGGGAAAACAGGGAATATAAAAGCAGGTTCACGGGACCTACTTGTGTATCGGCGTCTATGGCGGTTCCATTTGCTTTTGTGATCTTGGCTTTAACAAATAACTGAGTACGTGCCAAGTCCAAATACTCATCTCCGGTTCCCGAAACATAAAATTCGATCGGGCCACTGTCCGTGATGTTACTGATGGGGTGGTACTCGATCCATTGTCCTTTGGAGATGGAGGTTTTTTGTTGCAGGAATCGTAAAGAGATCCAACTCTGATTTCGTACATTCCTGAGACTCGTGATGCACAAAGACCATAGTTACTTCCAGAAAGAAAATTTCTCTTTGGGCTTCTTTTGCTGCGGAGATGTTTTTGCTTTCTTGCCTTGAGGCGAACTGATTTTGGTTCCTTGCCCTTTTCTTTTTATAGCTTTTTTGCCAGCTCCTGATTGTGTCTGCAATGAATTCTGAGAAGGTAGACCGAGGGCTTGTTTCGTGCGCTTGTGGACTGCTGTTTTAATGTTATCTCCATCAAGAACATCTTGGACGACATTGACACCTGTTTGTAAAGCCTTTTTTCCAATCACCTTAGCACCCTGTTCAAGGTGAGGCATCGCCCAGCGAAACAGACCTCTGAATATGGACCCTAGTCCATAACCATGCTGAAATCGAGCACCGTGAAACGCTGGTAAACTCCCACCTTTTTGTTTGGCTTGATTAACATAGTACTGTTCGTACAACTTGTGATTTGGAGTGTGTCTTTAAAAGTACTGAGGTGCACTTTGACGAAAATGAAGTGTTAACAACACTCTCCCAAACTCAAATGGTACAGACTCCCCTGTGTCTGTCTTTATATTGACTTCGACAGTTTCAAATTGCTTTCTGCTGACAGGTAAATATTGGAGGCGCAAAAATGATTTACTGACTCGCTCCCCAACCTTTCCTTCTACAGGAACAATTGGAAGCAAAGGTACCAATGCATCTCCAACATATTGTGACTGAATAAGATCACAGTAAATGAAAAGGTCGTGAAAGCCGTATTCCAAATCCACTTGTCTTTCAGCGCTAGAGGTATTAGAAATAATTTTATCTGGTGAAAATCCCAGCAGGTATCCAATGTTACCAAAGAAAAGTTCTACGTTATTTTGTAGGTGAACAGTCACCTTTCTAGTGAACGCATCGTAGGAAAATGTCACGTCGTCATTGAAACGCTTTACATTCTCGATCAGCTCTTTCATCTTTGATAAGATATCTCCAATGGAAGAATAATGACCTGGTGGTACAATTAGGGCTTCCCATACTCCGGACAATTCTTGGTTCCGAAGGTAGAATCGATTACCAAAATTTTCTTCCAGCTATTCCAGCTGTGAGGATAGTGAATTTCCGTTAACGCTACTTCCCAGTCCCCCGTCAAGCTAACGATCTGAGGTAAACCAACTTGGTACTCAGTTAATGTGTTGCTGGGAAACTTATCGAGGCTGCTATTGCTAGGGAGATGCAGATAAAACTGTTTTACCTCCATCGTACCCTGTGTTGAAATGAACTTTTTAATCTGGGTATTCTTAATTTATTAGAAACCACACACCATTCATTTTATTATTTCATTTTCTTTTATTCACTACACAAAAAATGCATAAATTACAATTTCAAAATATCTCTTTCTTGAACCCAAGAATCAAATTTTGGATCTTTGTATCCTTTCCATCTCACCAGATACTCTACTACGCCTTTACGCTTTCTCTTCCGCAAAATCTTCTCGACGCGGTACACATCATCGTTCTTAATAATTTTCTGTAATTCGGGTTCATAAAATGTTCCATCTAAGATTTCACCTGCATCATCTTTTAGTTTATAAACGGGTACTTGACGAGCCATTCGCTTGTAAACAGTAAAAATTTCTTCCGTAAAATTAGGTAAGTAAGATTTTTCAAACATTCTCTTCACTTTGCTAATCCTGACGCGATCTCCCACTTGAAATTTATATCGCACAGGCTTTTGAACATCATCCCCATACAAAGTATCCCACACTTTAGCTTCATTCGCTTTAGTCACCTGACTCGGTTTCATTTTAATACTTCGGTGGTAAGTGTTATTGTAAGAAGACACTAACTGGGGTAATACATTGATATAGGTGAGAGTGTTTTTGGCCGTGAAATATTTGTACATCTTATTCTTAAATGTTCGGTTAAAACGCTCAACCACTGAGGCTTTGAGCCCAGAGTTAACAGTGAAAAAGGCAATGTTGTTGTCACGCAGAAATTTCTGGAACACGAGATTGTTGAACTCTGTTCCTTGATCTGTTTGCAGTTTGATGGGTTTGCGACCAGTAGAAAGGATCTTTTGAAAGGCTTTGACCAGTTCCTGACCTTGTTTTGTCTTCAACGGTAACACAAACGCGTACTTGCTGAAGATATCTATACAAGTCAGTAAGTATTTATAGCCCTTGTTGTAGCGACTGAGATTTTGGAGGTCGACCAAATCCGCTTGAAATTGTTCATCTATTCCAAAAACGATGACTCGACTTCTCTTGTAGCGTCTTCGCGCGGGTTTGTGAAGAGTATGAACATCTTGCTGACCCAACCAATCTCGGACTTGTTTACGCGATAACTTGTTCTTTCCTTTCTCTTTTACCCGAAACTTGCGGGTTGACTTGGGTCGAGGTAGATGCTGGCTAGTTTTTTCTCCATCACAAAATTCCGAGTTTTGTACAACCACTTTACCACCGCAGCAAGCTAATACACAACGTATGCGACTGAAAATGTGTTCAAAACCAAAAGTGGATGATGGCGGACAGCAACCCATCACTAGTGTTTACCTGAACGGTAAAAGATGTAATGACTTCTCTCTCCCTGGTGCTCCTTTATATAGCTACTGTCGAATCTGGGTGAGAGTGGGAACAAGAAGGTGAAATAGTAGTTCCCATTCCTCCTCGGTTAATTCTAGCTGATCCGCGAAGTTCAAAAATACCACCAATCGTCCCCAGTTTACTTTTGAAAAGACCTCAGAGTGGAGTTTCTTTCAACCTTTTTAGACTCGAACCCGGCAGATCTTTAAATTTTTGTTGAAGCATTTCCATTTCACTTGAAGACACTTCAATGTTTTGGCTTGTGCGCGATACAGAGAAAAGTCGATCCGAAGCAAAGACAGAGAAAGCCCCTTCTTGACTAAGACAGAGACAAACACACACTGACTCACAATTTAGTGATGACGAAATTTTATAACTTTTAGAAACAAAGCTTATTTTGAATGTCATTAATTATCATGTCAAGGTCCATTGGTTGACACGAAGTTTATGACTATTGCCACAGGGGCCACAGGGGCCACAAGGGCCTTGTATATCACTGTGTTTTTCCTTTACGCGGGTGATTGAATCGCGCGTGGCGCACACACGCGCGCGCGGCTAGACAGACAACAAATCGTGTTTAGTATATTAAACCATATTTATTTACAAACTATGAACAAATGACATTTTTTTACGCATAAAGGAAAACTCTTTATATACAATGCGATACAGAGAAAAGTCGACCCGAAGCAAAGACAGAGAAAGCCCCATCTTGACAAAGACAGAGACAAACACACACCGACTCAAAATTTTAGTCATCATGAAGAAATTTTATTACTTTTAGAAACAAATCTTCTTTTGAATGTCATTATCATGTCAAGGTCCATTGGTGTTCTTCTTTTCTCACGACTCTATCAGGACATTCTATTGTTTCTTGTTGATCACTGAAATCCTTCCATTTGAGCCCATTTGGTCGGTAGTATAGAGCGTATAAAATACGGCTTTGAAGATCATCACCCTGCTGGATAACATCAAGTTCCAGAGAAGCGAGGTAAATACTGGTCCACGACAATATTTGGCAGTACGCTTCCCATGATTTATCTAGTTTGAAGCCGAGAGCACTGCATAACTTTCGGTAGCGTTCAACATAGAATTCAGGTCAATTTGTTCCACCACTTCATCGTGGTAATACTTCCATGCGTTATCATTATCCATCATGAGGCAAGAATGTTGCTTTTGACTTGGGTGTTGAATAGCACAACCGTCGCAGTGATTCAGCTTTTCTTGTTGGATGAGTTTGTCAACCAAAGCCACATAAGTCAGTTGGAATACATGTCCAATAAAACTGGATATCCTTTGACGCTGGACTTTTTCCACTTCGTCAATCATCAGCAGAGGTCAAGCGTTCCATTCGACTTGCATGTTTAGAGCAATGTTTCAAAGAATATTGGTGAGAGTTAAGACTTTTCTCCGAGCAAACTGAACTGTTAAGAATAAAATATTGAACGGAGAGCGCGTTTGTATGTTGAACACATAATAGATTGTTCACTATCCGATCAGGGTTAAAAGAGCCCTCATTTTCTGAATCGTCTTGTAGTTTTTGCGACAGGTAATTCATAGGTTTGTCGATAGACAGAGAATTACAATTTCGCCAAGAGATACAACATGTTCTGGATGACTGAGAAACAACATTCCTTGACTTCGAATTGGGAACTCAATGTCTTAATCCGGGTCATTTATTAAAAGAGACAAAAGCTAAACGGCTAACTCTTAATTGCATTTTGTTTTTTTACACAATACCTGGTCTTAAGTTGAACATTTTTGCATCATCAACCCGCGGCGTGTTTGTCCAAAGATAACTATGGCTGAGAAATTCTCTTATGGAGGTCAGTTTTCCAACAAACGACAGCTACAGCGGATTGCATTTCAAAAAGTATGGTGTGAGGAAATGAGGGAGGAACAGATTATGAACCCCACGTTGATCAGCAGAACTGTCATTATTGGTGTACGCAATATCTACGATTATCCTGATGCTTTATTGGAAATGAACGATTTGTTCAAGCGAAGATTACAACAAAATGTGTTATTTGTATCATCTGAAAAAGGACCTACCTACGAACAAGACCTAACTTACAGAGACAATTTGGTAGACTACACATTAAGTGATGATGTAACCATTAGCCATTTCTTTAGTCATTATTATTATTTCTAGTGTAAAATGATATACTCTTTGAGGTGAATAAAATGATTGCGATGAAATACTGTGTTGTGTAAATTTCTTTGCCCCTGCAAAATCGGGTCCGTTTCTGGACCTTGTAAAATTCTTTGTACAGCATACCATCGCGTGCAGACAACACTCGTTTATCTTGCTTTTTTTCCAATCGCCGTAAATGCCAAAACCATTGTTCGGTTAAGTTCTTGTTTACTTCAAAGAGGTCTTTCTGCCTTTGTCTTGTTAAGGCAGCAAATCGTTCAATATTTGATGCGTTCATGGCAAAGGGAGCCATTTTCTTGCATACTAAAACATCTTTCAGGGGCACCCAACGAGAACATAGTTCAAAACCACTTAAATATAGCATTGTTAAACGTATTTTAGTATTTAAACGGTAGATATAGGCATATTTTTATCCCCTAGAAATTTTTCATCTGTTCGGATTTCCTAGCTGAAAGTCTAGTGATCCGAAAATTATAGGGATCAAAACTTACCTTTTCGAAAATTTCAGCCACAAAAAAGGTTCACGAAAATTCTAGGTGACCTTTTAAGAGTAAAAATCCGTTAGAAATGGGCAATTATACCATTTTTTAGATGTTCGAAACTCCTAGGAGAGGCAGGCAAGCAAGAAATTTTACAACAAATGTTCCGAAAGTTCTAGATCGCAAATCGTCTTCCGAACACATATTTTCCGAAAAATTGTCGTTGGGTGCCCCTGATCTTTTAGCGCGAAGTTGAATATGGCGCGAAAATTATAACATGTGCTTTTGCTGACTATTACATGAAGGGGGCATTTCTAATGCTGCTCTGCGATTGGTTCAAAGTACTGAATACGAATGAGCTCCATTGTTCCAATTGTTCTCTAAATCTTAAACAAAAGAATACTGCTCTGTGATTGGTTACTTGCCATATCAACCCCCTTTACTACTGACCAGTAAGGACACAAAAGGACTAGTAAGGACACAAAACGACCAGTAAGGACACAAAAGCCTAATAAGGACAAAAATGGACTAATGAAGACATAAAAAGACGGAAAAGGACTAGTAGGGATACTAAAGGACTGGTAAGGAGAGGAAAGGACTAATGTGGACCTAAAAGGACTAGTAAGGACACAAAAGGACTAGTTAGGACAGAAAATGACTAATAAGGACATAAAAGGACGGAAAAGGACTAGTAAGGACAGAAAAGGACTAGTAAGGACGAGAAAGGACTAGTAAAGATACTCAAGGACTAGTAAGGACACA